CTCTAAAAAAAACTCTTATTTAAATCTATACTATTTATTTATACTAAAAACTATTAAAACTAGTAGAGCTATATTATTCTATAAAATCTACATAAAAAAATCTAAAAGCAATTAAATCTATATTAAAAAGTCTATTATTCTAATGCTATTTAAAATCTAAAAATCTATATTATTCTATTTAAGAAAAAGAACTATTATCTAATATTCTAATAAAATCAATTTAATATCTAGAAAATTCTATAAAATTCTAAAAACAGCAATAAAAGCAATTAAACTCAAATAAAAGGGAATGCGAGTTGGAAAAAAAAACTATTGTATATTGTGGCGGTTTGAACCGTCACAAGTTGCAATTTTTTTTTAGAAAAAGTACGGTATATTGTGGCGGTTTGAACTGCCGTAATTTTCAAATATTTTTTTAAAAAAAAATCTGTTGAATCTCCTCTTTCACACCTTCTATGCAATCCTGGAAAATGATCTCATATCAGTTAGACACAAAACATCCACCAATAGCAGACCCCAGCCAATTAAAGGAGTCCTCTTTTAGAGTCCTCTTTGTCTAAAAGAGGAGGAGCCTCCTACAACTTCAGCTTTAAAGCCAAAACTTTCAAGTTCAGCAGTGAAACAGCAGGAAAAGGAGGGAGTCTTGGGATCATCGATCACCCAGAATCTGAAGCAATCATAGCCTATTCCACACTCAAGTTGTGACAAGAAGAATGAGGAAAAATAATAATTTAGAGACCCTTAAACATTGGCTTCAAACTACTAATATTTAGCAAAGAGTTTTCTATCTCTTGCGAGCATCAGCGAATAACAATGAAAAAATTGTTAAACAGGTAATCAAACAATTAATTTAAATCTAAAATAAATCATAGATTAGGGTTATCAAGATAACTAGCTACAATTCAAACTTGACTACACTTGATTTTGGAACGGCTTCACTCTCAATAATGCTGACATTTCCAAGGAAATTATTATTAAGCACAGAATTGTTCACCATTCTTCCCTGATGACCAGCGATGCCGACGACCCATCTGCACTTCATATTATAGTGTCCAATTTTTTTCCAACAGACATTCAGTCCTTGCAAAGCTTTAAGAACCTCGACCACTATTTCTCGAGGTTGGGCTCGAGACTAGCACAAGTCAACGAACAGATCAGTTACAGGTAACTATCAAAACAAAAAAGTGTATTAAAACTTCAATATTTCTAATGACAACAGATTAATATCAATAGATAATGACTTTACACCTAATGTGAGAAAAGGAAGCATATATGTAATAACACATTCATTCAACAAATTTGATGATTCATTCTCAAAAGAGACACAAAATCAGTTGAAACAACAAGACATCCAACAATTATTCCATTTCCCATGTCTCTACCTGCAAAATTCCAATTAACAAGAAAAAGAAAATAACATACAGCTGCAATTTTTCCAAAAGCTAGGATGGGCAACTCAGATGCTGCTCCACCATGTCAAGGATTTAGTGGTCGTATTTCTGAAACTCCCACACGCTGTTGTCTGTATCATAGCAGAAAATAAATACATTAAGAAATGCACTTCTATCCATGTTGGTCAAACATTATAGGAGATATGAAAGAAATTATGCATACCTAAAGGACACACTTGACGAGTCTTGCGCCATCTACTGATGCAATGGAAGTGGAAAGCATGGTTACATACCCCTGTATAAGATGTATACCATATCAAGAAATAGTTTAGTCACACATGAACTAGGCAGAAACTAAGCAAACCTTCATATTTACTCTATACAGAACAATTAAGATGCTTAAATTCAAAGCTTCCAATATCTTAGAGGCTACAAACTTTATCAAAATTCCACCATTGGTTCTAAATTCACAAAAAACCTCATTTGGTAGGAAGTTTCTGGAAGTGGTGAATTTCTGGTCGATGGCCTTTTTCAGCTCTATATAAGTGTTTTGTCGGGCATCAATGATTGGTCGATGGCCTTTTTCAGCTCTATATATGTTTTTTCAAATGTAATGCTGGCTAATACGTGCAGTATATGTAGTTAAAAAATAAACATGTTTCCGTGGCTACACTAGAAAATCAAAACTTCAAAAATTAACTAACTCAGCACCAATTACACATACTGCCACGGCCTCTTCCCGCCTACAGGAATGGCATTGGATCCTGATGTTGAACCCTGATTGCCATAGCCTCCTCCACGTCCTCTAGAGCGAAAACCACCTCTTGATGCTACAAAAGGATACTAACAACTTACACATAATCCCAAAAAGCAAAACACTTGTAATACAATGTATAATTATAATAGAATTACCATGTTGACCAAAACCAGCAGATCGAGTCAATTCAGATAGTGCAGGACTAACAACTTGACCAGCATCTTGTAAGATCTTTATCAAATCCCTAGCATACTTGCCAATGCCACGGGTAAAAAAACTGTACGCAGTTCCTTTAGCTCCTGCACGACCAGTTCGACCAATTCTGTGGACATAATCTTCGAGGCTTGATGGAAAATCATAATTGACCATGCATTTTATGTCCTTCACATCTGCAAGCAAGAAGTAATACATCATAAGGAATTGTGTGCAAGGTTAGAGAAGAAAACTGCAAATATCCTTATCCCTTCCCCTTAATATTCTAGAGATCAAACTCAAGTCAACACATTCATCTCATCAATATGCCCACCTGAACCTTTCAGGGATAAGGAGCAGCTTCATCGTCACTGTCATCTAACACATCCAATTATCAACAAAGCATGTATGAGTCAACCGGGATGCATAGACAACCAGCTCCATAACTGTGGATGGGGATCAATCAATTTGACTATTTTTAAGAAAACTGCCAACATTGGTATCACTAGTATGACATGACTTCAGGCAACACTGGCAAATTATTGATAAACTCACATTGTTTTGTCAATCAAGTAAATCGCCATACTTTAACCTGCCCCGTGAAATACAGGATCATACATGGGATACTAGATCAGAAATTATAGATCAATATCACAGCCATATCAAAGGAACTCTGCCCTAAGTCCTAGGCATCCAATATAACTTGACGTCTTTAAAAGGATAGTTCCCAATTAACTCCATCAGGACGTCTACAGTCTACTCACAGCTGCGAAACAATTTCATCTCATTAATCCCTGGTCAAGTTTCAGGCACTTCCAACAAACTCAAAATATGACCCCCACCCACACACACCCAAACCACAAATTGTTGTCAATGGGGAACTGGAAAGCAGCCGGCCAACTCGTCTTTGGTTAAATTTTAGACCTATCTCAAAAATCCTAAGATTCTAAACACAGTGATCCTACCAAGACCCCGTGCAGCAACATCAGTGGCAGTCATTATTGGACTTCTGCCACTCTTAAATTCAGCCAAAACCCAGTCCCTTTTAGACTGGTTTTTATCACCATGGATAGATAATGCTGGCCATCCATCCATTCTCAACTGCTTTGTAACTTGGTCACATCCTTTTTTTTGTTTCTGTAAATATTAGAATTCGGCTCTCGTCCATCACTTCTTTCAGCAGCTTGATCAATCTGCATTAGCAACATCAAAGTGTTAATTTGGAAAGCAAAAACATTGGTCACTATTTATTACTGTGACTGAGGAAACCAACCTGTTATATTTCTCCATGTCAGTGACAACTTCAACAACTTGATTTATAGATTGGTTTGCAATATCACTAGACATAACTGCCTGCATTCCTTCAACGCCGCTTATACCAATCCCAATGTCTGCTTCTTGGAGCATTCCAACATCATTTTCACCATCGCCGATTGCAAGAGTAGTACAACCTGTTTTAATCTTTACTAATTTAGTAACCTGCATTATTGTAATAGAAAGACTAAACATGTTCAAATCAGCATTATAGGAAGAAACAAGGGTACGCATATAAAGTCACAGAAATTATACAAGTGCTTTTTGCTTCGGAGAAGAACGACAGCATATAACAGATGCACAACTAACTGCAAGCGTGAGAAATAAGTCCTTTACATCATCTTCTAGTGCATATGTCAGAGACTTTCCATCAATTATTAAATTTAACGCCTCGGTGTTTTCAATAGATGCACCAAGTAATTCCTTTCCTTCCATTAATTGACAAACAACACTTTTCTCGAATGCCTGCAGAATCAATTAACTTTCATCACAATCACACATCCAATAGGCCAAAGCTCCATGGAAAACAATAATTATATTTACCACATCAGCATCATACTTGTTTTCCATTTTCTCAAGTGATTTGGTTTCTCGAGTGTCTGAACTAATGATAATTTGTTTCATTTCTTGCCGAAGTAGCCTACAAGCAAACCTATGGTGACACAGAAATCATCATACCGATGACTTCATATTACTATGACAGAATTTTCAAAACTGTTGATAAGTACGAACTCACCCAACATTGATTGCTGTCTCCATTTTATCACCAGTCAAAACCCATAACTTTATTCCTTCCTGTGCTAGCTTATCAATACATTCAGGAACCTATATGTCAAAAAGCAATTGCAAAGTTTTAAACGCACTTAGTTCAAACTTCAAAAAGCTAGCTCAGAACTGAGCATAGATAACTTTATCACTAGTTGTAACATACCCCATTTTGAAGTTTGTCTTCAACTGCGGTAGCACCCAGAAGAATTAAATCCTTTTCGATCTTTTCTAATACGTCCTCCACAATCTGCTCTCGATCTGCACTTACTAAGCTCCTGGCTTCCATCAATTCTTTATTAAAAAGAGTGTACTCTTCTTCCTCAAGTTCGCGATAGGCCAATATCAAGGTCCTCAAACCAGCATCTGCATATTCCTTAATGTGTTGCTTAGTCTTTTTCTCACTCACTTCCATTCTTCGCAAGTCGTTCAAACATGACACTAATGTTGATAAACACAATAGAAACAGTTAAATATTATCAACTTTCAAATCAGTGTGATTTCTCAAGGCTGCAGCTTGCTAGAATACACAATTGAACAAAACAAACAAGCACAATGAATCCTCAAAAATCACATAGTAATTAATCATAATGTATCTCAAATATGCAAAAGCCATCATAAAAGTGGCAGCATACTTGTGAAACCAGTACAACTTTGGGAACCAAAAAAACTGCAATGTAAGGAGAAGGCTTTCGGAGGTAATAAGCATAGCTTCTAAGAAGCATAATTGCAATCAAAGTCTTTCCAGAACCAGTCTCTAAATACACTATAGTATTTTCACGAATCGCTCTGTCTAGTGCTTCAAGTTGATAGCTACAAAAAAAAATCAGCAACACATAACATCAATTTTCGCAGGCAACATTACAAATGAAAGGTTTTTTTCTTAAACTCTTGGACCGACTAACTCGGGGATCAATTCAACTGTCACTAGAAGAATTCGAAACCGAAACCTAGAAAGTAGCAGACTCTTAGATCCCAATGAAAGGATTTAACTAACCTTCTAGCAAACGAAAGAGTATCGGGCACAACCTGCCTCTCATTATAGTCATCCATTTCCATGAGAGCTTCTTCCATAGCTTGTTCCATAATACTCTATGAACCTACATTTTGAAGAAAAAAAAATTAGAAATCAAAATATTACTCAAACATATATTAGATCATGGTCTGTGAAATTTTCATCGTGAAAAGAAACATGCTAAATAAGTGGCAACGACTATGTGACCAGTAATTTTCTTTAAATAAATATATCTCTAAACAATACCGTAATATCGTGGATGACAGAAAATAAAGGATCATAAACATTACAGTATTACACTATACAATAGTGTTGTAGCACCACTATACATTGAAGAAAATCAGTAAAGACATCAGATACAAAACAAAATCAGTAAAATAATTAAAAATGTATATACATTGAAGAAAAAGCTTTTGATAAAGTATACTTCCTGCACAAGTAAGGCCTTCAGTTCGAAACTGCCTCAACAGTGATAGTCTTAAGACCATGTTTGTTTGATAAACAACTTAACTTAATCAAGCGTTTATGTCTAAATTATTTCTATGACAAAAGATTAAATAAAGTCAAATTGTTTTTATATAAACTTTTCTAGAGAGCTGATGAATATAAGTTGAAAAGGACTTATGGCCATGTCATAAATTGTTTTCATAATCTCTCCCAAACAGGCTAAACAAAATCAAAATCTTCTACACCATTAGATAAAGCACTAGTTCCCGAACCTATACCAATATCACCAACTACATTGGTTTCGCTCAAAACTTTCTCCTGACAACTGTGATCTAACCCATGCCCAGCTGCTTTCACCGCAGATTTCTCCTCACAAAGAATGTCAATTTGTTCCAAAATGGACTCATCAAAATCATCATTTCCAATATCCTTATAAATAATATTACCAACTACACCAATCTCTCTAGAAACTTTCTCCTGACAACTATGGTCTAACACCTGCCCAGCTGCTTTCACCCCAGATTTCTCGCAAAAAACATCAATCTGTTCCAAAATGGAGTCATCAAAATCATCATCTAATAGGCCACTTCCAGAAAAGTAATCAAGTGTTTCACTTTTAACTCCTCCAGGTATTTTCCTTGGAGTTTCGAAATTCGATTGACATAGACTCTCCTTCCCAACCACTGTCCTTGCAATTGAACTGCAGTGAATTGCGTCAAAGATGCTTCGCCACCATTCCCTGTCGAATTGAGTCTGTTTAATGAAACCTTTGCAAGAGGAACTCTCTTCGCAAACGAAACCCTACTCGCAGCACGATCAACATTGCTTGAACCTTTAGTTCTAGAAACAAAAAGAAATCTCAGAAAATAACATTATGCATTCTGCACAACATTATGAAGCTAAAAAGCATATAACCCCCAGGAAGAGTATAAATTTCACTCTAAAGTCTATAACCCCCAGGAAGAGTATAAATTTAACTCTAAAGTCTATAACCCCAAAAACAAGAAAATAACACAGCTGAGCAACAAAAGTTTTTGAACAAAATATGCAACAAATATCACTCAAATTATAAACAGTACCTTTGTATCCTGGTAAAGCTGGGAAGTCTTCATTTTGAATGCTAAACTCTTGGTTTTGTTGTACAATAGGACTAAGACCCTGTTTTCGTAAAGAGCCTGAAATTTATAGATTACATTATTCTTTATTGTAGATGGTGAATAATGTAATAAGAAAAATAAAAATTTTCCATTACACACCCAACTGTCCTTGAGGCCCCCCAGCAGAACTAGGGCGACTTGATAGTTGAGGGAAGTCATTGAGGTCAAAGGGTTAACTGTATACCAGAGACAGAAAGATGTGAAATCGCCAACTTCTAGCATTACTTTCTTAAAATTCAATTACAAGCATCAAACATAAACTCCAAAAGAAATCAAAAGAAATACAATATTCACTAATTTAGAAAGAACAATGGTCACATAGGCATGGATTGGTTTGAGGGAGGATTCCTCGATGTTTGATCACTTCTCTGTGTTGCTAGAATACCGTTCCACCCTGCAGAAAAAGAAGAAAAAAAATCAACTTCATGGACATCTTTAATTATAACAAGAGGATGTAAGCAATGAAAATTCATGTGATCAAACAAACATGTGATACATGGTGTTGCGGTGAAAATTTGATATCAAGCTATTTAATTAACTTGAACCTTATTTCTTTTTACAACCGGACTTTAATTTATCCAAAGGATAGGTCTAAAGAAAGAAAGAACCTTTTTCGCGATGTAACGACAACGCTTTTAAGAGATTCGGGGATTCGGGGGTTGGTTATATCTAGGGAAGGTATTAGCACCCTAAATATCTGTAGTACTCTACAGGAACCTTTTTTAATTACTTGCTAAGTTTGTGAATTGTGCACTATGGTTTAAGAATTGGGAATTGAGATAAAATAAATAAAAAGGCCTAAGTGGTTTTCTAAATTTGCTCGCAAAGGCATCACACCTTCTGCCTACGTATCCTGACTAGGATAGAATCAGAGCAATCGTAGTTCACCTCACAAGGGAAAAGAACACTTGATGATGATCAAGGTTCAAAGGGGAACAAACATGACAATGTTTGTATGGAGTTTGACAAAACTCCCTAATCTAAGTTGAAGGGGAAGTAAGAAGTCATGACGATGATTCTTACACAGAGTTGACGAACTCTTTCCTAGGGTTCTAGTTGAAGAACACTCCTAGTATGGGTGAGTTTCTTAGACTCCAAGCAAAGTCTAAAGGCTTCTAATCTAGGGTTGAGGTGACTTAACAAAGTCAAGAGGGTTAAGATTTTGGTCCAAGACATTGACAGTCAAGTGGACAGACCTTCCTTTGGAGGGAGAGATAGTGGGCCACTGGATGAAAGCTAACAAGCTTCATCACTTGGGGATAAAATAAACATTATACTAAAGCATTCATGGTGAAAACCAATGAAAAATATTTAAGGATGAAAAAGCAATGGTGACAAACAAAGCAGATGATTAGTACGAAAATTGTGACGACAGATCGCACCTGGAGTACAATTAACAAACAGATGAGATAGGCATGATAATAATTCAAAGTAAAAATCCTAGCATGTTGAAAAACATGTATAGGAATGAGAACAATCAATTTTCACAAAGAAAAACAAGTGGAACCCTTTAAACTTTCATCTGCAACAGCTAGGGTTAGTACTGTCAATATGACAAGTTGCACATAGTCAAACATGGTGAAAAATTAATCAAACATGGAAAATAAAATTATGACATGAAAGTACACATTAAAACAAACACAATGAAAAAAGAATGGGTGAAAAATGATAAAAAATGAGAGAGTTGTGATTTTTTGAAGTTTCATGTACAAAATGAAAAAAAAGGTGGCAACAAGGGTTATCACAAGGATCGAACCCATGCCAAGAACAATACGCGCGCAAGCTTCTACCGCTGGGGCGGCCATACATCCGTTAATTGAAGCGCAAGGATAAATATATAATGTGTGTTTTCATTCATGGCTGGGCAAAATAGAAGTGTTTTTCAAGGATGCAAAAGGGGTCATAACTCCCTCAATTTTTTGAGTTTTGGGACAAACTTTATATGCTTTTGGGGTAGAAAAATGTGAGGATTAACATGGTGGTCTTGGTTTTTTGAAATTCATTTCCTATTGAAAAACCCGATAGGGTGTTTGATTTGGCTTTTGGAAATGCAAAATGACATGAATAGCTTGATACACTCACTCTCAACTCCAACTAATCATCCACACACAACACTTAGATAATATGTAAGCAAGTACAAACACTTTTAGGGCTAGGATGTTCTGACATGGGAGAGTCACATTCAATTTGAAAATGCACATAAAAGTAATTAATGCATAACAATGTGATTTTCATGTTCAAGGTAATCATGAGTCATACCAATCATTAAAACCCCTCAAATATGTGATATCAAGTGTGTGTATGTGAAGAGATCTGAACTGTGATGAGTGTGTAAGGCTTTAGTGTTCAAATTGCATTTTGTGGTATTATGTGTATCATGAGTGTAAGTTAGTGTCCAGGTTATTTTCAAAGGTTTGGTCTATTTATGTGTGTCACCTGTGGTCATGCCAGGCTGATATAACCCAAAGATTTCAAAGGATCAATCATTCACAAACTGTTATGGACAGTGGTATGTCAAGTTGCATTAAGGTAACCAAAATGCATGATGATGGGCAGATGCAGTTCAAAGGCAACTCAAGTCATTCTAATCATTTACACAGCATATATACATGATAATAAGATTATCTAAACACTAGAACCTCAAGGAAACCACCTGCTATGAAGAATGACATGTCACATACAAATTGTCAAGGTAAGGATGCATAATGGTGTTCAAATCTCATTTCAAGAACAAACTGATTGGTTTAAGTGTGCAGACATTTCATACATGTGATATTAGTCATGTTTGATCAAGCAAGACAGTTCAAAACAACTTGGTTCAAGATGTGGTATTTGTGATGTAAGTGTGATGTGTGGAAGTGTGAAAATTGCAAATCTGAGTTACAACTCAAATCAACCCAAACCAGTCAGTTATACATGTCATAAATGATCATATCATGCTGTAGGAACACAAAGATCTCAACAAAAAAAACAAACATTCTCAAACTGATATAGCATGGTGAGCATGTAAAAAGCAAAAATGCAACTTGTGTGTGATTTTGTGGTGCAGTGCTTGTGTACATTAAATCAGTGTTCTAACATGTTACAAATGAGTAATGTGAAGTGTGTGAGGTTTTGTTTTGGTGAAAAACAAGCATATGCAAAAAAAACATATTTTGAGTATCTTGGTACATTTGAAATTTGGTGTCAACATGTGAATTTTGGTGCAAGGCAATGAAACAGCAAAACAAACATATAAGCATGCTTAGAATGTTCAAACAAACATGTTAAGATGAAGAAAACAAACACATCATGTGTTATGCAAAAAGTGAGAATGGTGTGGCTTGATATGCAAGCAAAAGTTAGCTTGAAGACATGATATTTAAAAAAACAGATTGTGAGGCCAAAATCATCATGTCTACACTTTTCAAAAAACATTTATGAGATGTCCAAGGTATGACTTTAGTGTGAAAACT